TTTGAGTGTTCATTTTGAGATTGTTGAAAATGTGTTCTTTTTGACATTTTGAAAAATTATTTTGAAAACATCCAAAATGCGTTTTGAAAATTTTGGCTTGATTATAATTGAAAACACCAAAAACGACAAATTTGTCGTTTTGGATTTTCTTTGTAAATTTTTAACTTATTTTCAAAAACGCGTTTTTGAAAATAGGAAAGAAAACGCGTTTTCACTGTTTTGGAAAATCAAAAACAGAAAATGACTTGAAAATGGTAAAGAGAACGGACCCTTACATTTTCTCTCAAGATGCTTATAATGACAGTAAAATCAATAACCAGAAAAGGATGTGCTCTCAATATAAGCAGCGTGACTCTTTAATTTGGAAATGTTTTATTCTCTGGATAGTGGATAGTGAAGAAAGGAATTCGTGCTCAGTAGCAAAAACACATTTCTGTGTTCTTGAAGCTTATTTTGTCAACAAGTATAAAATTAGCTAGCTATGTATATAAGCATCGCTCAAGGTAAAAATAAAAAGAAGGAAATGAACTGCCTAATTTCCTCCTTAAGATCAGCTACTTACTAAGAATCTTGGTTAAAAAGAACAAGAAAGCTACACTGTAAGGACAATAGAAGCTTGTTAGCACCTGTCCGTACTTGATTTAGATAACTTGGAAAAAGGAAGTGGCAAAACTAGTAGAGCTACAAATTGCTTTACTGCCATTACATTGTAATTATTTTCTTCTTTAAGTGCGTGTGAGAGGGAAGAGCATGGGAATCAAACAGACGCGTATGAAAGAAATCACAGCATGTACCGCTGTAGTGGTTTGCAATCTCCAAAAAAGAAATAATGAATAAAATAAAATTGAAAAAAGAAGAAGAAGAAGGATCCTTCACATATTTTCCACCCGATTCTACAGTTTTGAACCCCACAGTATTTGCAAAATCAACCATATAAGAATTACAAATGATGATATAATGTAGAATCTCTACTTACATCAATTGCTTCGTGCATATCTGGTACGCCTTTTGTAATGTTTTGACCAACATGCTGATACCCTCTGCATATAATTAGCATTGCTTTTGTTAGTGAAAATCGTAATGATTACGAGTTCTAAGAATTAGGCTGACTCTATTGATATAGTAAATGTTTTCATCATATATGATATGGATGTACTACACTCTAGTTGCATCACATAACAAAGAACCTGTATCCAGACGCTGCAGAAAGTTTTATCTAAAGTTTCTCCTCATAAGGTAAATCGAAAAATTTGTGCGATATGCTTCTAATTTCTTTAACAAGCGAATCAGGGATGCCATGGCCCTCCTGCATAAGTACCGTATCATCAGTATAAGCAAACACTGCGAAATAAAAACACAGCAGCAGTTCACAATCATCTTGAATTACACAATATCAGAAAATAAAAATCAGAATGAAATAATGGATTTTGCACAGAATAACCTGTAAAACTGATACATGTGTAAACAAGAAATAATGAAGTTACCACATAAAAGAATCCAGCTTCTCTGCAAGCTTGATCTAATTGTCTAACAACTTGGGCCACACCTTGATCTTGGGCCATGTTTGGATCATCCCACTTCTCTAACAATGCACTAATATCTGTCGAATAAGTGTAATGATTAACCAAAGAGGAAAAAAAATTAATTACCCAAAAAAATGGTTTCTTTGAGCAGTGCAATCACACTTAAGTTGAATCTTTCATTTTTCTCGAATTCACAGATAAAAAAATGGCAGAACATATAAAAACAAGAATTTCAGAAAGGGAAATTTCAAAAGGAAAAGCTAGTATAGAATTGTCGTAATTTGGATACCGATTAAAGGGATGAATTTGAATTCGGTGGCCATGGCGTTTCTCTAGTTCTTTATCCTCTGCTTCCCTGGTTGCGAGATGATTAGGAGGAGTAATTTGCTAAATTTGCAGATATTCCCTTTTTCGTATTGACAGAGATCAGAGAGCTGATCGATTTATATCAATCAATATCAATTCCATATCAATATCAATACATGTTAAAAAGAGTCATAGTATAACACGTGTTTTCGGTTGTCGTCAAAAATCTCCCTTTTTTATTTTTTTTTATTTTTTATTTCTGAAATTCGTCAAAATTTTTCACACCGCCATTTCTATTTCTTCATTTTCACACGCAACTGCACCAACTACTGTAAGACCAATTGCCATAACCATGCTTTATATACTTTTTTTCACCCATCTTTTTCCTTTTCCGATTTTCACTCCGCCTCTCACAGTAAAATTCTTTTTTGTGGTGTTCTGATTGGATTGACCTTCGGCTAAAGGTGGGTTCTCATTTACTAATGCATAATTTCCATTTTCCCAAAGGAATTCTTTTTGGTGTTGGTTGGGGTCGATTCAAAGTATAATATGCATTATTATTATCATATTATTTAGTAAATTTATTCTATGTTCTTTGTGTTGTAATGAAGAAATTTTTGCCTCAAGATTCCTATTGTAGAAATTTTTTGATTCATTACTTGAATGGTTGTGTGATAGCAATGAAGATGAAAAATGAACATTTCTTGGAGTGAATGGTTGTGTAGTATTAAATTTCTGATTTGGACTTGTGGAATGCAGCAATTGAAAGCTTTCTCGTCTCTGTAATCCCAAAGATGAAGATTTGTGTATTTTTCTAATTCTTCAACTTGGTTGTCGGAAAGTAGTCCATGATACTCCTACATTTTCATGAGTGTCCATGCATATTGTTCACACATCCATTTGATTTTGTAGTATTTACCCCTCTTATTCACAAAAATAGATGTCTTAGGACTACAGTGGGCTTTAAGTGCGAGGAAGACAATGGCATGTACTTAAAGTATGAAAACACATACATTAAGCGTGGATAAGGCATCTAGAATAAGTATCTAATTAGTGTTTCAATCAATTGAGTAAAACTTTCAATAACAAACTAGAAAGTATTCTTGCTCATACTTTATTAAGGAGCAATGACAAATTCCGACACAACAAGAGTCTTCTTGCAAGTGAGATATTTTAGCTGAATTAAATGCTAAATATCTCACAGGAAAATCTGTAGGAAAATTGGGATTATGTGTTTTTCTATCTTGAGAAATAATATTTGGAATTTTGTCTATCATTGATTGTTAAAATTCACCATTATATTTGTAATAAATATGTCGAGGTAGGGGTTTAATTTTTTTGCTTATAGTTATGTAAAAATCAAAAAACTTCATATTTGATTAGTTTAGGGTTAGAGTTGGTGTGTTCAAAAAGAAAAAATCTCTGTTTAGAACTGAGACACGATGTCCGGACATGAACATTGTGTCCGCGCGGTGTCCAGACACGAGCACCGTGTCCGCGTCGTGTCCGGTCACCGTGCGGACACTGTGCCCGTGTCTGAACACCATATCTCCGTTCAGAATGAAGATTTTTTTTTTACAGTGCATTTTCACTAAATTTTCAGCTTTTTAGGTGTATATATTTATGTATCTAAATTTGCTTGTTATTTGTTTTTTCTGTGTCCGTGTCCGGACACCATATATTTATGATTTCTAGGTGTATATATAGCTCGAGTTTAATTTTTTTTCTTTTAGATATGTAAAAATCAAATAACTTCATATTTGATTAGTTTAGGGTTAGAGTTGGTGTGTTTTGGGGGTTGGAATTTAATGGGTTTTATGAGATGTGAATATATATAATAAACTTTATGTTTGACCGCGTGGGTTGAGTTTTAGAATTGAGATCGATGCTTTAGATTAGAGACTTGAGTATGGGGATTGGATGATTTTGTAGGGTAAATTTGGGATTTGTGTGGTAACTCTCCAACAACATAAAATAATTAACTTTTTTATATGGATTGTGAAGATTTCGTTGGCTTATTTAATCAAATTTATATAGCTAAAAAAATTGTTATTGGTAGCATTGTCCGTGCGCACACGGAGACACCTCGTGTACGCAAGGAGGCACCTCCGTGCGCACAGAGGTTTTTTTTTTAATACCAATAACAATGTTTCTTAAGGCAATCAACAATGTTTTTCTGTTTTCTGCTGTGTTGTTTACTGCTATTATGTGTACTGAAACATGGCTAGAGACGTCNAATTATTTTATTTTCGCTGTGCATGTTAAGTAAATTCCCAACAGCTACAACAATGATGATGAATGGCATCCTTTTGCAGGGGAGAGAGAGATAAATCTGAAGCTGAAAAGGCACAACTTATTGAACGAATTCATGATATTAAGGAACATATTCAGGACAAAAAGCAACAATTCATGGAGTTGCAGGAACTTGGCTGTTGATATATCTATGTATGTATTCAAGTGAGAATGACTCGCCAATTTTTTCTGAAGCACATAAATTTTCATTGTATAATTTCCTATTCTTTGATAAAAGTTTTAAACACCTTATTTAAATTGACTGAAGTGCAATATCCATGACATTAAACAACTCAATTTAATTTTACCTAGCCTTCTTAGACTTCTTGCGAATCTGCCTTGGAGCAGTCTATGCTCAGTCAATGTTTTCTTGAAATCACTGGTCATGTCCTCATGAAATTTGTTCTTACTGACTCCTGCAATTGGGTTTTTCTTTGCATTCAGAATAGGATTGCTCAAGAGACCATTCTTTTGAAAGATGAGCATTTAAGAGAAGCGCAATCTTGGATGACTCGTGCTCAGGAAATGGATGCTTTTCAGTCAACTGCTAATCGTACTTTAAAAGCTGAATTACAAGAACAGACAGAAAAATGTAATCAGCTGTAGTTTGGTTGTCAAACACAAGTGATTAAGATATAGATATTACTTCAGTTCTCAAATGCGAAATTGATAGTTTGTTTAATTTTAATTAGCGAGTGATTAGATTTTTATATTTGTTAGTTTGGTGAGATGGAAAGGCTTCATCTGCATATACAAAAGCTCCAGATTGAATTGGCTGATGTAAGAGAAAAGAGTGGAAGTAAATCTGATGTATCAAGTAACTCACAAACAGGTTCGAAGGATGCTTCTCATGTTGGACGGAGCAATGATAGCCAAGTGAACGGAAATTTTACGCCACTGGAGAACTGTGGCAGCCTGCAACATGAAAATGCTGAGACTACTTTATCTTTACCTTCAGGAGGGAACACATCAATGCAGGTAGAATATGTAAAATTGATGTAGGTTGTTCTAATCCTTTACTATGAGTTGTAAACTTGTAACAGATGCATGTAGGCTAAAAGATCCTTTCCTTTTCCACTATCACATTTGATTAATTTATGATGTCTCTTTTAAGTAAAATATCTAGGTTTGAATACTTGTGCATTTCAAATATTTTGGTTGGATCTCTAGATTATCACCGGGTTCATTTTTCTCAATACTTGATGACAATATGACACCAGATTTTGAATTGATCTTCAATATGACATATTTGATCACATTTAGAAATGCGGTTTTTTTTGTCAAATAGACTTCATTTGCTGTGAGAGCGATGGACCAATTAAGCTTTATTAGATCAGTATACGATTTATATCAGAATAACCATCTCTAATTTGATGAGTTCACTTTCTACCTCAACTAATCATACTTTTGAATTAAATAAGTGATCATCTGATGATAATGAATATTCAGTTAAGCTCAATCTAAGTTATGATTCTTGTGACTCCATTTTCTTTTCTTGGATTTGGAGTAATTGAGAATTAAATGATTTATTGGTCATCATAGTTGTTAGTTGAACTCAAAGTTTGTATATTTTGATGCTATACTTTCGTGGATTTTTAAGATTTCTTATTCCTTCTAGTAGTTGTTCCCATTGTTTGTACATTTTATTGATCGACTGTATTTCTTTTTAGGTTAAGGTTAATAACACTATTGCAGTATCAATATCAGCTTCAGATTTAAACATTCTTGGCGTTTACTTAATGCATGAGTCATGACTTTGTCACTGTTAAAGAAGAGAAGGTTAAGGACACTCTTTGGTGTAATATATGGGCTCATACCCAATTTGTTCTTCTCATTCTCTCACATATTTACTATGTTATATATTATGTATTCCTTATAGGAATTACTTGCAGTAGTGGAGAGTCAGCCATTCCAACATCTTGCCAGAAGAAGAGTTCAGGATTACGGGTACGAGTTCCTTAATGACGTAAGTTCTAATTCGTTATCGGAAATACTTATTGAATCAGCCTTCCACATTGTTTGATTTGATGTTTTGTTTTGTTTTGTTTTGTTTTCCTTTTCCCATCTCCTTTACCTCTTGTAGATATAGAACTTTAACACAGTGTAATACTAAGACGATGTTCAATCCTTTGTGTCTCTAGTACTTGGTAGGATCAAAATTATTTGGATTGATGTTTATAGTTTTGTTTATGTAGATAACTACAAATTACTGATTACAGTTATTTTAAAAATTATCTAATATTTGAGGCTTTAGTATTTCTTAGATCTCATTTAAATCTTAATTAAATCTATACTCCCAAAAAGTAATATCTAGACAAACTTTGCAAAAGTTCACACTTTTGGTTGACAATACGTATCATAATTTTTCTCCATACCCAATTCATTTGACACTATAATGAGAGATGAACACATTCCATGTTGTGAATCTTATTGGTTGGTTAATCTTGTGATATCTTTTGCCCTTGTTGCATTTGTCGTAAGCATATCTCGTCTTAGTCTAGGACTCTTGTCACACAACAAAGTTTATCTTGAAGTTCTCATAAAGTTTGGCGTGCATCGAAACCAAAAGAATGCTGGTTAATGGGTAATTATTTTTATTTTTGCTTTAAGGCTTACGATTGTATAGAACTCCAATAAATAAGTAGCTGTAACAAGAAAATAAATACCGTGAATACCAAATCTTTGTATCAAGAATTAAAAATATAAAAAAGTAAATATATGAAAGTAAACCAATTCCAACCATCTGAATATCTTTTATGCTTATAAATGAATTTCTCTCATATCTACTTACACTTATTTTTAATAAATATTATCCAACTAACGTGCAACACACGTTCATCCCACTAGTATCAGAAAAATCACGAAAGAATCGTGATTCTAAAAGAATGTTTTTTTAATTCAGAATCTCAATCTACCGATACTCTAGATTAGTTGCAGCTGTTTGACCATTCCAACTTTCAACTTTTTGGTCTCTTATCAATTTAGCACAGTTTGAGTCTTATTAAATTAAAATCATTTATTTCTTATACTTATTATTAAGTATGCATTCACGCAATAAAATATATTGTACATAAATTTAAATTTTTTTTCTTATTTTTTAACTTCACGTTCTCCAAGAAATACATATTCAAAACATCATTTTCTCCAATTTCTCTATATAATGGCCATGAAATAGGGGTTTAATAATAATAATAATAATAATAATAATAATGCTATGTAGCTTTATTTAGCCCTTGTTTGATCCTCATTATTTCTAAAATATAATTTTCTCTTTCTTATTGTTAATCACACATTCTTCAGTAAAAACAATATTACTCGTAAACAAAAAAAAAATTATTTTTTTTACCAAATGCTCCATCAAAATACTGTTTCAAAATACATTTTGTTGAAAAAATGGGGGCGCAAACAGGCTCTTAGAAGAATTATAAAAGATTTAATAAATAGAAATTAATGTAAATAAATGAATAGTACTTGAAACTTCGTTGAAATGTATGAGTGAAAATGAGATTTTTGTGAGTTCAATGATATGTTGATTTCTGTTTTTGTAAGCCCCTGTTCGGGTCCCATTAAAATTTAATTCATTTTTCTTTCACCTTTTATCAATCACACATTCTCTCAATTAAATAATATTACTCATAAATCCAAAAATTAATCTTACTTTTTAATCAAACATTCTTAAAAAACACTATTCGATTTTTATTTTTTTTCAAATAATGAAATACAAACAAGGACTGAGTATTAACCTCTATATTTCAAACTGTAGGTAGGTTGCAAGCTCTCACATTTGCCAATTATCGTGTTTCTCCTCTTATCATTAGATAAAAATTCGAAGTTTGGTGATTAAATAGTGGATAAAAGTTATGAGTCAAATGAAATATATGGTTAAAAATGAAGTTTAACCAACTTAAAATCTAAAGGGCAAAAAAAAAACCACTTGAACTTTACAAAACAAGAGCCTAGTACTTTTATAAGGACTCTTGTAAAGAAACTATCTATTTTGGTAGGATTAATCCCTCCTTCTCTTAAAAGAGTGAATGTGAGATTCACTGTTCATTTTTGTCACAGTGATTTTCAAACTGATCTGGTTTGAAACCGGTTTGGTACTATTACTTATGCCGACTTAGTTATTATATAATATAATAATATAAAAAAAATTTACAAACCGACTTGCCACTGATATACATGCAAATCTATTAAAACCAATTGCAATAAGACAATATCTCGATTTCATTTCAAACACAGGCTCATGCTTCGCAATCAACGCTATAGTATGCTTTTCCATTAAAGTTTCCTTACTCTATCTTCCAGGTATATATGTGTATCCGCATCTATATATTTCTCAGAAAAGAGTTTTGAATTTTTGAGTATAAATTTTTAGTTTTATTTATTGTAGTTATTGTTATATTGCAAAGAAACCAAAAAATCCCCATCTACTCCTACTGCTGAATAAAGCACATTTCCATCAAAGTTTCCTTACTGTATCTTCCAGGTATATATGTGTATCTGCATCTATATATGTCTCAGGTGAGAGTTTTGGATTTTTAGTATGGTTTTTTAGTTTTATTTGTTGTAGTTATTGCTATACTACAGAGGAACCAGAAAATTCTCATCTACTTTGAATGTAAAAAAAAAAAAAATTGCTCCTCCGAACTCCCACAAGGGGTGCTACCCTCTCGACCCCCACGACCTGACCAGGCAAGTCGATCCCCGTCGGGGGCGCTACCCCCTCGATACCCATGACATGACCTGGCAGGTCCATCCCCGTAGGGGGCTTTGCCCCCGAACCCCCACGAGGGGTGCTGTCCCCGCGACCTAGCCGGGCAGGTCAATCCAAGGGGCGTTGATCCCCGGGACCCCACTGTCCCATCGACCCCTGCGACCTATCACTGTTATTTTTGTAGCACTCGTGTTCACATTCAATCCGGATGGCAGTGTTCGTAAACGAGTTTTCATCTCTATCTTTCCACCTCTATTATTTTTTTTTTCTCTTTCTCTACTTTCTCTGTACATGAGACCTAATAATATCTCTATCTACACTCTTTTTATTCTATCTTCCATTCATTTGTCCTCTGGAATAAATATCATGGAGATAAGACCGTGTCCGTCTTTGAGTCAAAGAAAGAAACCCTAGAAATTTCCTTTTTATATTCTTCGCTTTCTCTCACAGAAGTTTTTGCAGATTCACTTGTGTGTTCTTGTTCCGTAATCTGTATAGTGTTTGTTCTTGTTCATTTCCTGCCTGTTTTATGTTGCAAAATCTACCGGGTCGCTCAAAAGGTAAGATTTACTGTTGTTCGAACATAAACTTTGAGATCTAATTTGTTTTGATAATTTTCGTTTCCCTAATATGTGTGTTAATTTTATTTTTTTTTGTTGATTTTCGCCATTTTTTGCTGCGAAGTCTATCGGTTCAGTGAGAAGGTAAGATTTAAATATCTTTGGGTAAACTCAAAGGATCGAAGGACAAATCGCCTGAAGCACAACTGACTTCGCGCTTCTTCGCCGTTAATTTCCTGTCGAAGGCTCTCTTTTTCCTCTGCGATCGTTTGCCGAGCTAAGGGGAGATCCGTCTAAAGCACTTTCTTTTGCCCTAAAGTTCTAGCGACCGATTCCGTCTATGTTCTCATGATCAATATAAGGCAAGTTTTCATTTTTCCCTCATAAAAATTGTTTAAATCTCAAAATTTGTGAAGGGGCATCTTCAATAACAAATTACTTGTTCAAGATTTGGGTTTTCATTTTCTGGATGCGCTAGTTTTTCACATTTTCTATGATAAAATTGTTGGGTTTAATCTATAAGCAAGCTTCATTTGGTTAGGAATTTATTTTTGAAAACTGGTATGCAATTTTTGAAGTGAATACATTTTTTGTTTATAATCTAAAATTTCAAATTTTTCATTGTGTTCCAGGTTGCTGAATGAATTTGAGGCCAACAAGGTTAGTTATTTAATACTCACATATTATTATTTAGCATTTAAGTGTTGCACTATTGACAAAGTCTTCAATGTGATTAATGAAAATGAAATCTAAAGCTAACTTAAAAAAATTTGCAAATTATAGGAGAGTTAGAATGACATTAGAATAAGATTATTTTGTAGATGCACTTTGCAACCCGACCCCACATCACCCCTACCTCCACTCTATAGAAGCCCCCACACACCTCAGTAAGAACATATCTCACTCTTTCTTTTGCAACAGTAGCAATCTCAGCTTCATAGACATTTGAAATTTTGAACCCTAGTATTAATGCCCAAAGCCAATCCTTCACCTGCCCTTACAGATGACCCGTAGTGTGGGTGTTATATGAGTAATGTGTAGAATAGCATGACATAGTTGAATGAATCTAGATGCTTTCATGAGGGGTTTTCTAAACTTTTGTCTGTATTACTTGACTTAGCAGTCTTGGGCATGTTTTATGAGAAGTCTTGGTATAATTCTATAATAGATGCCATAAAACGTTCCTCTTTTCAATAGGATTGGATTTTTTCTGAACACATCCTTTCACATGCATTCATCTACTATTTTTTCCTTACCATTATCTTTTTATTAGATGTTAATACTTCGAATCTATTTGATCTTAAAAAGATGAAAAAATGGGAACGTGTGAAATTAAAATATCTATTGTACACAAAGGATTAATGGTAAAGGAAAAAAATGTCAATCAATAAATTTTATTCTTTACATTATATGCAGAGGAGTTTGTAGCCAATATTTCGTGAGATCTTAACATGCAGATATGGAGCAAATCATTCTG